CATGGATATGATACGGCAGACGCCGCCTTCACCAGGGCTGAGAACAGATTACTCGGAATCTTTTCAAGTTCCGAAGAAGATCACTCAGACCCGGATGAGCCACATCCGAACGTCTATGCTCGAGCCTATGATCCAAACCTGGATCCGAATCTGAGATAAGAAAATTCTCAGAGTTTCACAACAGTGAATCACAAGGCTCTAACAAGAGCACAATGAAGGGCTGCATAATTCGGTAGAAGAACATTACCAGACCTGATCTTGTACAGATGATCTCTCTGACCAACATGCATGAGTGTGTGCAAAAGGAGTGACCTCAACAGTGTACTTCAGTGCTATACCTAGCATAAACAATATGCTGTTTTTATCATGAGTCCAAAACTCCGCAACTGTGACAGTGGGCATAATAGTATATGTGTGAATGTGCGGCCATGCTTCCGGTAAAAGAAAATTAGTGTCTGTTTGAAACCATAAACCTCTAAAGGGGTAGCTCTAACAGGTACCTACAGCAATGGCTGCATGCTCATACATATACATTCCGCTGCCCATTGGCTCACAGTGGTTTTACCATATTGAGACAAGACAAGCTCTCCTTGCGTAGCAAGACAAAACAACTACTGTCCGTGTGCAGGGCGCTGCCCTTTGATCCTTAGGGAATAACTGGTCATACACCTCCTCACAAGGAGTATTCCTTGGGGGTGTATCGGCACAAGGGGTGGGGGGGTGTGGGGTGTGTGCGGTGGGGTGTGGGGGTGTGTGGGGGTACGTGGGGGGTGTAGTGGGGTGTGGGGGGTGTGGGGGGGTGGGCGGGTGTGTTGGTGTGGGGGTGTGGGGGTGAGGGTGTGGGGGTGTGGGGTGGGGGGTAAGGGGGGGTTCTCAACGTCCTCCAGAACCTATATAAATTTGTGGTGGCAAAGCAGAAGGCGGCAAAGGATGCAAATCCTCCAAAGGAAAGCCGAAGGGCAAGCCTAAGGGCAAGGGCTAGGGCAAATATTGACTAGATTCTGATTCCAAATCGGAACACCTGATTTATGATCCTGCCCCTCGAGATCTGGATGATGAAATTCCTCGCGCTTCTATCCATCATCCTAGGCCATTCGATCGCGTTCGCCATGCATCGGTCATGTCGATCTACCAGCGGAATATCTATCGTTGGGATGGTGAGCTCCGTGTTCGGATTTAGGATGATGATATCGAATTTGTGGACTGAGGATTTCACGGAATGCTTCTTTCAGAAGAAGATATCCACTTCGAGCATTCGCCATTTCATGGGGAGATGCTTTTCTCAAGAAACGGTCTTTCCTGAAGACTGTCCAGAATAAGAAGATTCTTATCCCAAGATAAGATATTTCTAGTCCTTACATTTGCCTCGTCGCAAGAATGCTATGCTAGCATCAAGTGGAGCTAAGCTCTAGATTTTTGTGTGCAATATGCTCGCGGCCGAAGACACGTGGTGTCCCAAATGTGACGCTGTGCTTGACCGCTTCAGCCATCATGCTGCCAGCTGTGTGGCGGGGGGCGAGCGCACTTTGAGGCACCACGCCATCCGTGACGCTGTTTTCACTTGGACACAACGAGCCGGCCTCCATCCTGAACGTGAGCGTCCTGGTCTGTTGCTGCCGCAGTCCCCCGAAGACATGAGGGCGGGAGGGCGTCGCCCCGCCGATTTGTACTTGCCTGCTTGGCTTGGTTCGCCTGTTGCATTTGATTTCGCCGTCACGGCGCCACAGCGACAGGCAACCCTTGCTCAAGCAAGCATGCAGGCCGGTGCCGCGGCGGAGAATTATGCCCGTCACAAGGAGGACCACCTTAGCACGGCAGCAGCGTGCCAGGCGCAAGGTGTCCAGTTCGTGCCTATGGTTGTTGAGACGACTGGGCACTGGGAAGCTGGCGCCAGCCGCGCCCTCAAGCAAATTGCTGGGGCCGTCGCTGCCCGCACTGGTGCCGAGCCAGGCCCTCTGCATGATTCGCTCCTTCAGGAGCTTAGTGTCGTCGTGCGCTCTTTCCGTGCCCGCGCCGCCCTGCGGCGGCGCGCCGAGTTGGAGATATAATTGCCTTGCCTTCTGCTTCCTTTGGCCTCCCGGGGTGGTCGCCCGGGGCGCTGCGGTGGTGTCAAGGGGGCTGATAGACAGTCCCTGGCGTGGGCCTGCCGTGGCGTGCTCGGGTTGACAAGGGAGGGCCTCGAGGTCGAGAGGCTCTGCTTGGGCGATCATCCTGCTGAGACGCAATCTGTGTCCTCCTAGTGCTTCTTAGTTGCTTCTTTGCTGCTGCGTGAGCAGCTGGCGGCATCCGAGCACACTACTATACCTTTGTTTCTGCTACTTCCACATGCGTTGTAGCGCAGTTCGTTCTTTGTTCGTGCTACTTCCACAGGCGTTGTAGCCCCAATGCGTCGAAACGCTCAGTGAGAACTCTCCGTTCTCATTTTTGCAACTGTTACTCGAGCTGTCGAGGGTACCTACAAGGCTCACCCCTCGCTGCTCTCTTGAGAGGGAATTGAATATAAGTGGACAATTTTCGATTAATATTTTTGAATCGAAGATACGCTTGTATCTGAGAGCGTGATCTGCTATCTTTTCATAACCTATCTCTAGGCTGCGGATGATCAATTTCCAAGCGAATTTATCTCAAGTTGCAGTCGTTCTACGTGTTTTAAACTTGTGCCTGATTGAAAAAGTGAATATTTAAATATGTAATAATTATATATCTAGGCGCCTGTCTATTTCTTATATCACGTGCATGTATCCATGCCTATTGCTCAAGATTCTCATATAATAGAAATCTATAATTATAACTGTGCGCCTGTAGTAAAAAGAGACTGCTGTATGCCTATATTCCTCTACGCATAGCGCGGGGTTAGACGCCCAACTTATATCTCAGAAGGAGACGGGGGAGGGTGGGCAGGGGGAGGGGGAGAGGGAGGGAGAGGGAGGAGGGAGGGAGGAGGGAGGGAGGAGGGAAGAAGGAGGGAAGGCGGAGGGAAGAGGGAGATTGAAAGAGATTGAGGGGAGGGAGAGAGAGAGAGAGAGGGAGAAGGGAGAAGAGAAGAGAGAAATAAGAAGAGAGAGAAATGAGAGAAATAAGAAATGAGAGAAGAGAGAGAAATTAAAAGAAGAAAGAATTAAGAAAGAGAAGAATATGAGAGACAAGAAGAAAAATAATATGAGAACATATATTGCCAGACTAAGAATTCGTAAAATCGGAGGCAAAATTAACATAATAATAAGAGAAGAATATATTTTAATTCGAATAAAATGATGATATTGAATAATATTTCACGTATTTGAATAGAAGAGCTAAAGATATAAATCTCATATAGAGACGATAGATTTCAATATTTTTATAGTTATCTCGACTTATCATATCGAAAAATATCCAAGATTATTAAAAAAGAATCATTGATTACGATAGACTCATTAATTAAGAATATATTCTATATATCTCAATTCTCTTTTTCTTTAAATTTAATAGATTAATTTGACAGATATTAAAATATATAGATCTATTTAAATATATTCGAATTATGAAAATTACTATAATTAATGCCTTAGTTCAATTACGATAATTTAAAAAATTCGGAACGTATATCAGTCTAAGGTTTTAGAGAAATCAGGACCCTTCATATTTCATTTCAATTCCCCTCATCCTGATCCAGTCCGCACTTAAATTGCACTATATGCACTCGAAATATCGATACAAATATGAAAGGTTTTTCCAAAATATGATATACTGTAAAATCCAATAATATATCGATCATCATATATTTTTAATAAAAGACAATATAAATAAAATACGTATGAACGAATCATCGGTAAACTCAATAAAAATGGCATTTCGAATATAAGATATATTATAAGAATCAATATTCAAGATATAAATATCTTCATATTATATATAAATATATATTAAAATATATAATTTTATCGATCTCCGCGTATTTATATCAATAAAATTATTCTAATGAGCGGGAAGAGGCAAGGAAGAGAATTATCATAATTAAAAGAAATAAAGCATTCGCCTTTAATTTTGACGATATATAAATTGAAATTCATTCAAAATCTAGGACCCTAGGCTCAAATCAGAACTTTAATTCCTATAAGATTTACCCGACCTAAATCTAACCTCAAAATCGAGAAAACCACTATAGATATAACGTCCTAAATCTAATTCAAAAATGAAGCTTTTATCGAATTTCTCATAAATTGATGCGGTCGATCGCTTACGCACCTACGTCATCGCGAATTTAATTCTCTCATAGATCTCATTATAAATCAGTCATCGATAACTTCCGGACGTTATTTAAATCAGACTCAATGAGCTCCCATACTAAGAAAATAGAACTAATCTCAAGAAATACCAGATCAGAACCTAAGACTATTATCATTAATCACTGTATTCATCGAAAATATACCTAATCTCTTTTTACCGAATAAAGAAAGATTCGAAAGTACATACTAACCTCAATTATGAAGAAAACTAGCCAAACAGATTGTATTTCCTACAAAATCCGATCTATCTTCGAATAAGTATGTAGATCATGACACAGCTGTCAATTTTGCAAGTGGTTGCGGCAAATGTTACTTCCGAGAATTCCGGTACTCTCATTCGACTGTTGACACGAACTGCGGCTGCTGGTTTTAAACCAAGCGAGCTGCTTCAACTGTGGCTCTGAAGCAGGGAGCTGCGAGAAAGATGATCCGAAGTAGCGATGTCGCACGCAGAATCTGTTTTTTACAACTATAGTAACTAGTCTCTTCTTGCTTCAGCCCAGTCCTACCTAGACGGTCGTTTCCAGCGTATCCCAGTTCCGGGATCTTTGCAGGAATGTGAAACAGAACCAGCAGGCACCACAAATGAACGCCTGGGCTGCACAGATGTGTCTGCAGAATCAAAGGCACAACTGCTGCATCGAGTCGGGTGTTTTGCCAGAGCTTTGATTTCAGTAGCCAGGCACAATGCACAAGAAGAAGCCTCTTGCAAAGCTCACAAACAGCCAAGCTTCCTCAAAGCGCCATTGGTTGTGGTGGTGCTTCCGATTCAGCCTGAGCCTCCTCAGCCTTGGGCTCCTCCGCTTTCGGCTCCTCAGCCTTCGGCTCCTCCGCCTTGGCTTCCTCCGCCTTGGCTTCCTCCGCCTTGGGCTCCTCCGCCTTGGGCTCCTCCGCGTTGGGCTCCTCCGCCTTGGGCTCCTCCGCCTTGGGCTCCTCAGCCTTGGGCTCTTCCTGTGTGTCGGCCGGCGCAGCCTCGGGCGCGGCCTCTTGCGACGCCTCCGGCACGGCCTCTGGCACTTTGACCTGGGTCTGAACGTTGCCAGAATTGCCGAGTACTTAACAAAAGAAGCAGCAAAAACCGTGCAATGATGCACGGGAAAGCACCGATGAACTCTGTTTTTTCAAGTATCTCAAGGAGTTGTGGCTTCTTTCCAAGCATGCTGCAATGCTTGTCGTTCATCCGGAGGGCAAGGCCAGTAGCTGCTGAACCGCATACGGTGCAATCAGCAAACAGGGGCCATCTCAACAAGAAGCGAAGGACGAGCGGCTCAAACAAGCCACTCACCCGGAGCAAAATAGAGGCGAGCCCTGAGAACAATTGCCCACAGGAAAGTAAGCAACAACAGCAACAGCAACAACAATGGGTGGCGCACAGTTACAAGACCCTGCACCAGAAACCCCAAACCCTAAACTTCCTTAAACCGTATCCAAAGGGCAGGCTCCGTTGACTTCGCGAAATCGCTCTTGTCCCGGGACATGGCTGCAACATCCTTTCCATCCTCGCGAGAAGGTGCTGAAAACCACGCTAACATGTATAGATACTCCCCGATCAGTGTGAGCGTGGTAACACTAGTAAAATACATGTTTGCTCTCTGCGCCATATTATTGACCCACGTCTACCGCTGTGGCGCGGAGCGTACTTTTTGCTGCATCCCATAATTTTTTACAGGGAGCGTATTCTGTGTGCTGCGCCCGCGCCGGGGTCAGCGTTCATTGTGCGAAAGTCATGCGAGGAAGAAACCTTGAATCGCACCATTTGGGCGCAAGGACTCGGCGTGTCCATCTTCCCACAGCTCGTGCTCGCGAAACGTGCCAGTACTTCCGAATCCTCCTGAATCCGCCAGCACTTGGGGGAGAACCTTGGTGGCACGTGGTCCTCAATGCGCCAGTATCTGGGGGAAAAAATGGCAGCATCCTAATGGTCTTCTATAGGGTTGGTCTCTTGGTGTGTAGTGGTCTTTGTTGGTCATTCCCTTGGTCTTGGTGATTTCCTATGATCTCCTGCTGATCTCTGGATGCTGTCCTGATGGTCTTCTGGTGGTCTCTCTCGGTGGACTGTTGGTGGTCTCCTGACCGTTGTCGTCCTGGTCTCGTGGCCGTCCTTGTCACAGTGCTCGTCGTGGGTGGTTTTGCGATGATCGCCCGGTGTTGTCTGGATGGCGTACACCCTTTGAAGACACAAACGGCAACTAGTTGCGACCCGTATTTTCCCAAGCATAGCGATGCACCGGCCCGGCAGTCATGATTTCCGGGTCCTCATGGCATTGTTCCTTCACTCAGGAGGATCTCCGCTGGCATACTTGCACTTATACATTTATATACACAGAAACCATTCATTCCCTGCTGCTGGTTGTGTATGCCGCATGGGCCCCCAGACCCTTTCAGGGGCCTTCCAGTTCACCCAGTCGCCGCCGTCCGTCATCAACTCGAGCTCTTCGAGGATCCTCAAATCGACACAGCCGCGAAACGTCCACTTAGGGCCTTGGGCAAGTGTACAGCTCTTCAGCCCTGCGACCCCGTGTCCGAACACTTGGCTGGGTGCACCCCGGAATCTTCAATCAACCCTAAATTCCTGAACTCTTCAGACCTAAGCACCCTGCCACCCCCTGCTTGTATAAACTCCTGAAATGAGGGCTGGGGAAAGCCTTGGGATAGGCTTGGGCGAAGCTGAGAAGAAGGCTGGTCATTGGAATACCCAGCAGCCCGGACCTCCGAGCAAATGCACCCGGTCACAGCTTCGCATTCTCGAGCCCTGTGCTCTGAAGAGCTTGGCCGCAGGCCTGGTTCCAAAATCCGACCCACTCTGCCTGGATGCAATGCAAAGCCCTCTTGCCACACTTCCTCTCATCAGCACGACTGGCTCGCCTTTGTGATGCTTCCGTTGCCATCGTCGTCCACTTCATCAAACATGGCTTTTGCATTCACCTGGGAAGAGCTAGGAAGACCACAATGCCTTGGGAGGCCACGAGATGGCACCTTTGCAAAGCTGCTGAAGAACTTGTGGGCCTGCAGATGCCGATTCTTCGCGGGAGCATGCTTGTTGCGTGCTCGGATACCAGCTCTGCACAACGCGAATGCGATTTTGCAATCGGCCTCCTCCTTTGTAATGGTGCCACTAGTGTCTTTGTCCATCTTGTCGAAAAGCTCCTGGGGCAAGACGCTAACACGCAATCCTAGTGCAACGGTTCTTACTATGCATCAAGTGCTTGTCGAGGAATCGGGTGCTGAAGCCCACGACGACTTGACCAGTCCTCAACCTTGGATTTTGCGTCCGCAGAGAGCGTTCGCATGCCTGACAAGCACAGGAATGTTTGTGGAACGAAGCCGTCCCTTTGAAGAATGCAACCGGGGCCCAAACCGGCACTACCACCGCAGCCCATCTCTCTAATGCTATGTAAGCTACAAAGCTCACCGAGGGGAGGGCGTGCTGGAAAGGGCTGCAGCTGCGAAGCAGTAAAATGTCAAAAAACAGGCTCCTTCAGGGGAGCGACAGCGTGGTTCCGCACCGAGGCACACCTCGCACATTTACCACATTTACCTCGCAACAGCCATGTCCGCCTTCCGCTAAAGGGAAAACAAGTCTTTGCCTTTGCCTATTTGGCAGCCTTTGGCAGCCTTTGGCGCTGAGAGACGGTTGGGGGGGGGGGGGGGGGGTGTGTGGTGAAACAGGGTGACTGCGACGAGCGGAGCTTCGCAGCTTCGCCACGTTGTGACTCGTCTCGAAGCGCTTCCGCTTCCGGCTTCCGGTCCAGCGCTGATCGGTCCAGCGCTGGTGGCATCTATCTATATATCTATGTATATATATATATATATATATGATGCAGGGCTATGGCCCTGCAAGGGTCCCAGTCGTCCAAGTCGTCTTGGTCTTCAATGTCTCTGCTTGCAGGGAATCGCGACATGAGCAGCGCTGCATCCAGGCCCTCCTCCTTCGAGTGGCCGGGCTGATCCACTGATGATCTGTCACATGACGATCTCGATGCGGATAGGCTCGCGATGTTCTGCAGCGCTCAGCTCACGAACCCAGTGCCACTGAGACTAAGTGTGAGAGTGAACGCCGCAGCCAGCCGGGCCAGAACCCGCTGATGGCAGCAGCCGACTTCCACATCGGGGATGGGCTCCTGTCAGGAACGCTCATTTAATGCCTCAATTCCGGGTTCTTTTCGAGCTGCAGATCCTCATTCTCGCTGGGGCCGAGAAGAGGAAAGCGGAGAGCCTCTGCGCCTGCCAAGGAATCGCATCTGGGAAACGGCAGCGTTTTGAGCCGTCGACATGTTGAGACCAGGACACTCGAGCAAGTAAGTTGGCGGCAGATGTCAAACATCCTGGGGCAGGATGAAGGGATGCAGGGCCATGCAATACATTCCCGGCTCGCCACTTTGCAACCGTGGCTCCACACGTTCTCTGTTGGCTCCCCAGCCAGCTTGACTCCACAACGAATGCTCACGTCACCGGGTGTGACAGTTGAAGCAGCCAGGAGGGTTACAAAGGCCTCTGACTTCGCATCCGACTTGGAAAGGAATGCAAGTGGCTCTTCACGAACTACTCAAGTGCAGAAGCTTCGCAGTTAGTGGCCGTGGCGGAAACTCTGGGCAAGACAAGTGTGAGCTACTCGGCAGCCACTGCGGACGACATCGCGGCGCTCCCTGCCTGTGAGGATGTCACAGTCGGGCTGCCTCGTGCGAGTGGCAAGCCCTCGACTGTCAGCGAAAACTCCTCGGTTTGTGAAGAAATCGACATTGGTTGTTCTTACAACCTGTCGAACATGTAAACCGTCCTCGTCATACTGCACTCCACTGGGAGGCAGCAAGCGCAGGGCCTGGATGCTCCCGGTCGCAACGGGCATCATCCTTAACACTCTCTGGGAACCACACCCCAAGACAACCTAAAGATTTTAAATACTACCAGACTTGCACGGCTCGCGTCTGATCGAAGCGGAAGGAGATCTCTAGCACCAGCCGCGTCGAGGCAACGTTTCGGCTCCGCAAGATCCTCGGAATCGGAATCTGCACGTTCCGACTTTCATCCCGGAAACGAACATGCCCACATCCAACAAGGAGCGCTGTGGCGCAATACTGAACAAGGTGTATGTGACGCTACGACTCATCAGTTTGTATTCAAAAACGGCCCCAGCAGAGGTACACATACCTCAAGCAACAAGGATCCTCAGTATAAAGAGGGACCAAAGTTTCAACCCAACCCCCCCACGCGGCGAGACTTTGGCGGCCCCGGCTCAGAGTTGGGGCGGTCAGCGGCCAGAGCCCGGCACTGAGTAAGTCCGGTGCAGCCAGGGAAGTCGCAGCATCCACCAAACTCCTGTCGAGCTGGGGCCTGGGGTAGTGGGGTTTCTGCTCTCACACTCGGAATCCAAAACTCATCACATCGCATGCCCAGAGTTCACATAGCATGTGTTGATATGTGTTGTCTCCAGTGTCCGCCTCTAGCAACCTCTTCCTGCAAGGACGACTTGCACACCATGCATAAGACACTGAGGGCCAGTACGGTGAATAGAATAGGAGCCGTCCAAGAAGATATCAGATCAGCACAAACCAAGAAGTCTTAGTAGAAATCGTGAGTGGCTTGGCTGTGCGCCGACAATTCGGGTCTAAGGACACAGGCTATGACCAGAAGCTGAGCTACCGAGAACACTGCAGCGATGCACCCCTGAAAACTAGGGTTGTGAGAAGAATGGCAGCGAAGGCGTTGAGGCGTGCTTCAGCCACGATATGGGGATTTTTTAAAGAACAACACCAGAGGATATGGTGGTCTAGGCAAACTAATCAAGTAGCTAACCAATTAGTCAAGCCTTAAGCCCACTGAAACTAGCGACCGCTGAAAAGTCGGACCTCAAGTAAACCCTAGTTCGCCGCCTTTCGGCTGTGAAGACCTCCACGCGGAATCGGGGGTCTTCCGCTGCATCTGGAAGGGTGATGGCCAGAGCAAAAGCCCAAGATCCAACGGGAAGCGGCTGGGTGAGGAGGACCTCCGTGTGGGACTCGTTCGCCTTGGCTTACATCCAAGCTGTTTGTCTTCAAGGGCCACGCACGTCCCGCACGTACGTCATCGCGGCAAAGTTGCCGCTTCTTGGCAATAGGGCCCAAAGCGTCTTAGAGACATCGGCCAGCGCGGCGCTCCCCGCACGTCGGCTGCATCTTCGCAGCTCGGCTGGCCATAGCCTTGCCAGGGAGATTCCGGACGAACACAGAACAGAGCTGCCGGAAGCAGAAGGAAGGGGAAGCACTGTTTTTGCTTGCAGTGTGAAGCGGAGAGAGAGCGCTGCGGTCGGTGTGTGCCTTCTGGTGGGGTCACACGAATGATCCCGACCTGGGACATGCAAAAACCTGCTCCTGTCGGACATGTTGGGCCCATGCCGACAAGCATCTTGTGACTCCTGGTCCAGGCGCATGGTGAAAACCAGCCCAGTCAGGTTGAGCCCTGCCAGGTTGGCCTAGGATACCATCGTGTCACTACAACCTACGCCTTAGTTTCGCATTCGCTTCCGCTCAATCCCAAATACTTTTCTGATTGTCTCTGCATTAACGCGACCAAGATGCATGCTTCACGCTGCCCCACATAGGAGCCACATTGGCCCCGTCCACGTAGCCCCAGGATTGCGTACTCAGGTCCTCACCGACCTCTCCATCTTCCGTTGCCAACACAAACCACGCTGTGTCCGTGGTGGTGTCCTGCACAACTGCAAAACCGACTGAACCTACCCGCTAAATTTGGACTAGGATTTGTGCCTCTCAGTGTAGGCATGTGTTGTGGTGACATGGCTGTACCGCGACTGGACTCAAGAACTCAGAAGAACCCTTCCCGCCGCTCCAGTGAGGCAGCCACTTGGAGGTCGACCTCGCGCCGGGACTGCGATTAGTCAAACTCTTGGAGAAGGATTTTCGACGCCCCAGAGGCACGGATTCCGGCAACAGTACACTGACGTTGGAGAACGATTTGGGTGCAGGCCCCCGCTAACAAAAGCTGGCTGAGGCATGAATCGTCAAGTCGGTGGGATGGGACAAGCTTTACAGGCACCGTCGTGAATCGATGCAGTTTAAGCTGGAAGCCTTTGACAAAAAACACTGCAACCCCTTGAGATCCTTAAGCCCGAAGCCTTTTTTGTAGGCTTCCCTAAATCACTGGGGGTGCTTTGCTTTATAAGCCTTTAAGCACCCTGTGCCTCCCAGCCAGCTGACAGGTCGTGGAAGCCCAGGGAGGCGATGGATCGTCGGCCCTGAGGGCCCGGGCTAGGCGAAGCATCGCGCAGCAGAACCCAGCCCGGGGGCGGCAGCACCATGAGCCATGCACTGAGAAGCCTCGGCCCCGGGCACGAAGATTTCGTGAATGCTTACAGAATCCCAAACTTGATTTTGTCCAGGAGCCAGGGCTTCAGAAGCAGCCGCGCGAAGGTGCGGCCACCCGGCGGAGGGCTTCCCATGGAGAGCTGCAGCGACAACGCAGGCAAAGGCCAAGCTCCTCGGTTTAGGTGCATCAGAATTCCATGGTTTTGGGAAGTGGTTGGAAGATCAGAAGGGAAGACTTTGAGAGTTTGTACAGCAGCTGCGTGTCATGAAATGGACGAAGACAGTCTAAGCCCACCTCGCAGGGGCAGGCTGAAGCCGAGATCACTCGTGGCCACCTCGGGAAAGAGTTTCTCCAAGCCCGACGGCAGAGAATGGGGAGCCTGTGTCTGCAGAGCTGCGGGCAGCGTTGCGCCATCAAAGACGTCAAGAAGCCAGGGGCTGCCTGGCGGTTCCTCATAGCTGAAGGAAAGCGCCCAAACCTCGTCAAGACGTTCCGGACAAGGTGATCGGCACTTGACAATCATGGCTTTGCCAAGGCACCGTAAGCGAGTAGGTTCGAGGCCTCCAGTTGCAAGATCTGTATATGTATATCAGATCAGCAATGGCATTACCAGTGCAAGCCCCCTGCACCGCCTGGCAAGGAGCTCTTCAACGAGCGTCACGCTGAGGCTGCTAATGGTGAAGGATGTCGCGTTGGCCAAAGGAACCTTAGTCGCAACGCTTGGCAGCACAGGCTTGGTGCCGTCGCTGAAGTCGGGGAAGATACACGAAGTAATAATAAGCCTGCTTCGAGAGACCGTGCGTAGGACCTCTTCTGCAGCGACCTGCAGCTTCACGCCAAGCCGGCATGCTCCATGTCACCAGAATAGAAACAGCGGTTTTCTTGCGTTACTTCAAGAAATAGCTTCTACCTTGCATCAGCTACTGTGACGGCTGCGAAACCGCCTCGGCCAAGCTTGCGCCAGTCGCCTGGAGCTCCCAGGTTCTCGGAGAGGACAGCGTCAGACGTGCCTTGGGCGTCTGGAGCTCCTGGGGTCCTACGAGCAGGTCGAAGCCCAAGTTGCCATTGCTTTGGCTGGCTGCCCCAGGGAGAAGGTAAGCGACAGCCAGGCGGCCTCTCCCAATCCTGCCAGCTGCCAGCTGCCATACCGATGGGCTCCGCACTTCGGACCAATACTTTGCCAAGGAGCTGGCAGGTAAAGAAGCGATGAGTGCATTTTCAGAGGGGAGAAGCTGACGCCAGAGTCTCGCTTCATGGCACTCTATGCCTCAGACGCAGCACCTACCCTAACCTCAGGCACCGTATGGGCAAATTACGGATTGCGGCTGCTGCTATGATTTTTCAGGGAACTTCCCGGCAACCGAAAGCCACGAAGTCCCAACACTTCCTCCACGATGTCGAAAGCACCTTCCGGCCATCACATAAGCTCCCTGGCTGCTAGAACAACCTCAACAGACTCAGCACAAACGCAAGGATACAGTTGCAGAGCAGTGCAACATCCACATGGCACACGACAGCCACACCCTAGAAGCGGCTTTGGCTCAAAGTCCTCGCATCCAGGCCCGGGTGACGGATCAGAGCCAGATCGAATTTGAAAAAAAAAAGAGTCACCAGGATCAAAAGAAAAAAAGGATCACAGAAGAACTAAACCAGAACCTACGCCATAGGGTTAATTAGTAACATAAGGGTGATGGGTCAACAAAAACATTAAATAGGATCAAACAAGAAGTAAAATGGACCAGTAATGGTAGTCGTCGTCGTAGTGATTAGTCGTGGTGTGGTGGTGGCTTGTCCCTCAGCACACCGCTTTTTTGACGCTCACACTCGGCATAACCAGGCACACCAATTAAGGACCTGCATAAGCATGTTGCCGAAACAAGCTCCAACATGCATCACTGCTGTGTCTCATGACTCCATTCAGATTGTCGCATGAAAACAAAGTGCACCCTCTCAATACATAGCTTATGCAGCAGTGATGGTGCAGAGCGCAAAGGGGGGTTGGGGCCTTGCCGCCTCCCGCCCAGTAAGTATGCTGCCGAAAAACAATTTCCAACATTCATCACAGTCGGACCTCTCTAGATGGTCGTACTGTGTCATCCGGATAAGAAGTAAAGTGAACCCTCCCGGTGTATAGCTTGTGCAGCAGCGCTGGCTCGGGGCGCAGAGGGCAGTCTTAAAACATGGATTGTCTTGGTTTGGTTGGCTTGGCTTGAGGGGGGGTGGGGGGTTGGGGGGAAGGGGACGGTTCGACCCCTCCCCCCCAGCTGCCAATGAAGGACTTGCACAAGCTGTCTAGACATTCTTACACACATAGGAAGTTTACATCCATCCATCTATCTCATGTCTGTCTGTCTGCCTGTCTACTTACCTATCTATTTACCTGTCTGTCCGTCTGTATATCGACCTGAGTATGTGTGTGTGTGCGTATGTATATATGTATGCGATAGGGGCCTTTAGGGTCTATTTAACGCACCGCCCAGACAGTTGAATCAAATAACCAAAAAACTAAATAATCAAAATCGGCACACCCAGTTTTGATTCTTCAAGTATTTCTGGCTGACGTATTTGTTTCGGTTGAATAAACAAAATTACATGAAAATGCAATTAATAGCCGGCGCAATCCCGCCATGGCAGTGTAAGCAAACACAATAATCGTTGCTGATTTTGTTGCCTCCCGCCTGGCTAGGACGAACCTACGATGCAGGGTCTGATGCTGGCTTTCTGGATATTTTGCTTGTTTAGTTTATTTGTTTCCGAAGGCCGGTCTAGTTTCCTGCGCACTTTTTTTTTGATTTTGTGTATCTTGGTTATTCTGTTTATTTAACAGCTTTTTTTTTCTGGAGGGTGGGACGCCCCGGGGCCCCATGTTTACAGTATTTTCGTATGTTTTGTAACGAAAATCAACATGGATGATAACTAAATAAGCTCTAAGTAATCAAAATCGGCAAACCCAATTTTGATAACTGTTTTATTCATTTCTGATTTCATGCACTCTTTGAATTAAACAAAAGATAACCACAACGAATTCAATAGCCGGTACCGAAACATAGTTCACACAACTTATATGACATTTTCAACAAAAACTAAAAACTTGGCGGTCAAATGTTTTAGACATACGGCAAAATGGGGCCCAGGCTTTCTGTAATTTTTTGATTGATCCACATCTACTTTTTGGATCCCTATCCCTTCAGGCCCAGCCTTCGCCAAACATCGTTGCCAGGTGGAAGGTTGTGGGGCCGCCTCCGCGTCCCAAGCGAACGGGACCCAACCTGAAAGCATAGCAGGCATAGCATCGCGGCCTTTGTCCGAAAGCATCGGGGGAAGCCTTATAATTTCTTTGTAGCCCTCCTGTCTGTGCTCTTTATCATTTCAAAGGGCGCCGAAGCGGGGGGGCTGGGGCTGAGCGGGGCCCGGCGGGGCCCGGCCAGATCTCTCGGCGGCTCCAGGGCTGCAGAGGGAGTGCCAGCAGAAGCCGTGGGCCAAGGGCTTCCAGCACGATGCCTCCCAAATTCGCTGAAGGCCAAACGCTGAGCTTTATGCTTCTTGGGCTTGTGAAGGAGTTGATAACGCTGTCAATCCGGGCTTCTTGACAGAACGAAGCTCGGGATTGATCACTGGCTAGGCTCCATACGCCAATCTGGTTTATAAACTCCCTGGAGGCGAAGATGATTCCCGAGCCTGGGCTGCTTTCCGTGCCGAAGAAGTCGAAGTCCTGAACTGGACCATATAGAGTTTTCATACGTATTTGTCCCTTTTAGCGTTTCGACGTTTCTTTTGAATTAGGCGACAACAACGCAGAATGGTCGCATGCACAGTTATGGAGATGACCTCTTAAGCTGTTCATGCTGTATCCGTGTATCTTTTGCAAGCATGCCTGCGTAGACATGTAGATTCGCAGGTCCGTACGTAAATGCACCCCTGCACGCAAACCTACACACGTCCTTACAACCCACGTGCAAGAGGAAGCATGTAGATAAGTGCACATGTACATATTATATATATATATATATATATATATATATATATCTTTATATGTCCTGCATCTATAACACCACATCCAAGCCAAGCTACCGGCGGGGAGACAGCCACCAGGCGCAGGTGCGATGCCGATAACCGTGGATTCAGCTCCATGGTCAGCACGGAGTCGCTGCCGGCAGATTGTGATGGCCACGCCTTCCAGCACGCGGTAGCATTCATTTAAACAAGCCACTGCATTAACCGTTAAACTTGATAACATTGAACTTTCCTGAATACGGTTTACAGTTCTGTGGCTTGGCTTGGACAACAAGAGCCCACATGCGCTACAAAGCATCGGGCTTATCGCAGAGCTTTGGAGCTACACCCACCACTCGCAAACCGGCTTCAAGGCTACGTCCAAGACTCACACAAGGATCGTTGATCTTGGCATGCTCAACTCCACAAGCTCCCGCTCAGGACACCCGTCAGTGGCATCATGACACCCTAAAACAAGTCATTTCCCATGTAGGCTCTCGATTGCACAAACACCCACACACACACACATCAGAGGCAGCAAAATACATCAAAACGAGTTTTTTACATGCGCACGCTTGGATTCCATAAGCATCTGTTCCAGACACATGTCAGTGACATCACAATACATCGACAATGCTCAGCACTTTGGAACTAGCACGAAGTGCACAAGATGTCTGCAAATATGCCCCCCCACCCCGCCCCCGCCCGCCCGCCCGCCCAGTGGCGGCCGTCGGAAGCATGGAACAAACCGACTGTTCAACAGAAGTGACTAATTACTTGAAGCGCGATTCCCGAGTGTGGACGCTCGTCCATGCAAAAAAATCAGCCAAGCAAGGCAGGATAAGCCGACCCCAAGCGTAGTAGCTAGCAGTCAGCAGCTCTCTTTATCAACACGCTTGCCACATTATGTGACTTCTCGCCGACGGAACACTCATCCAGCCTTCATGCTTCCAGATGCGAGCTCCGGTGGCCGCTGTCCTGAAGAAACAGGTTTTTTGGACCGACGGGACGGGAGGACGGCGCAGCGCATGTCCTGCAGTGAGGCGTACCGCTGCATTGAGCATCGGCCGCACTGCCCACGTCGGGGCCACCTCCGATGCCAGCGTGCTGCCGGAGCCTCTCCGGGAGGGAGCGCATCGTAAACCCTTTAAGTCTCGTTTACAAAAGTCTCGTTTTCAACTCACCAGTCGTGATGTCAACTTGCAGTGTCAGGTCGATAGAAATCTACATGAAACCCGGAACCCTTCAACTTTCACATCATGCAGATAAGGTGGCGCTGGTGCGCCGCGCGCCAATAGCTCCGGCCATGTTGCACGCTTTGCCCCCTGACTGAGCGGCGGCTGAGCAAGAAGAGAGCCGAGAAGCTGCTTGCGGCCGAGTCTCTGAAGGATCTCCAGGCGGATCTGAATTTGGCCCAACCCCTGTGTGCCCGTCAATAGCAGCTCGCAGTGAGTATCACAGCGGCAGTTCAAACACCTCAGCATTCCACCGTTTCTGCCACAGCAAAATCGACCAGAATGCAACCACGGCACAGGCCGCCATCAGAGCTGTCGCAGTCTGCACTTGATCCCGAATACGTTGTTGATGTTATGGTGCTGGTGGTCGTGCTTGTGGTGCTCGTTCTGGTAACTGTACTCGTGGTGGACGCTGTGCTGGTTGCGTTTGGATCCACTTCCAGCACCGGAGGCACCGTGCCACCCGTGGCCTCCCAGTCAATCTCGAGCTCTGCCGGATCGCCACAGAGCGAAGCCTGGGGTGATCCTTCTCGTTCTGGTGGTTCTGGTGCTGAAAGGTCCGAGAGTTGGCAAGAAGAGATGAGCTGGTCGTGTGGCAGCCAGATGTAGAGCTCGTCTCCCTGGAGCAGTGGAAGGGCCAAGTCCAGAAGCACATGGACCACGCCTCTGCTCCCACCAGAGATCGGCGGCTGGCAAAAGGACCCGTTGCGCAAACGTTTGGGCGGCTCCAGCTGTAGCTCAACATTCAAGCCCAACGCCGGAGACAAAGCATAGCTTGGTGCCTGCAGGAGAGATGCTGCGTGCAAGAAGCTTCCCCCATGAAACTGTGTGAGAATTCCTATTACTTCTCGTGCCTCGCCCACGTCCACGGGCTGCCACAGGCCATCCACTAGCGTTTCCGTCTGCAGCTGCCAAGCTTCCCATGGGTCGCTGAGATTTTCGGCGACATCCACGGAAGGGTGTCGAATGTCCACAGAAACCTCGTACCGCCGGCCAAAAACGAACTGCATTCGCGAAAGCTGCAGGACCAGCGACTGGCCGGTTTGGGATGCATCCTCCGTCTCGCAATGGACGTCTTCGGGAAGCAATCGAAAGCTGCACGATGCTGCAACACTGATGCTTTCAGACTGCTGCGCCGTAGACAGTGCCACAGCAAACGAGAAGTAAGCCTCTGGACAATCGCTGGCCTCGTCTGAACATTCAGAGGTTGAAGCACACCATCCGCCAGCCTGGAAGTCAAAGGTTTCAGGAGGAAAAGGCTATGACAGTCACCTACCTGTTTGAAAGCCAGACCTTCGTCGCAGCGGCCGCAAGATCGTCCAAAGCTTCCACCACGGCGGAGCATTGCTCACAGGCACCAGCGGACTCCACCAAAAGACAGCTGCCTGGCTCGAAAGCGATGCCTTGCGGTGCTGTGATGCGGAGGCGTCCATGTGAAGGAACGGATGTGGAAGGCACCAAGCTGAGCAGAAGGGGTGCTTTGCGGCCCTGGGCCGCGGTGCTCGTGGGCTCCACGCGGATGTTTCGAAGCAGTCGGAGTTGGGGACCTAGAAGCGGGGGACTCGCTTCTTCCCCGAGCTCCAGAAACCAAAGAAAAGCTTCCTCTGAGTTGGAGAGCTCGTCGTAGCTTGGATTGATCACAGCCACCCGCAAAGAGTAGACGTTCAGCGGCTCCAGGCCGGCTGGCACATCAATCACCGCTTCACGGCCGCGTGCACGGCACGCTCCAAGTTGTCCCGGCCACAAAGTTCTGGAGGAGGGATCGGGGTAAGCCGGATAAGCCGAGCAGTCGTCGTCGAAGGAACCCCCCGCAGTTGGAGACGCAAAGCTCCTGAGTCTTTGACTCTTAACAGAACCTCCCACCGGCCCCGGTCCGGACCCAAAGAGCTCCAAGGCTCCTAAGTCATCTCCTAAGTCCTGCTAAGCGCGCGCTTGCTGTGCCAGGTGTCCAGTTCTTGGGAGCTCGGAGGCGAAGCGGGAGAAAAGCCTTTTCCACGGCTGGTCGCTCTGTCACTGACAGAGAGAGCACCACGTGATCCCTTTGCCCTGGCCGTCCAGTGATTTCCCAAGCCATCGCCTGCTCGCTGTAGGGCTCCGGTGCAGCCAGCAACCCTGCCGAAAGAGCACGGCGCACCGGACAGCCAACCGCCGATGCAGCGAGAAACCTCGTCGCAATCGCAATCAGGGAAAAGCAGAGAGAACATGCTACGCCAGCCTGCGAGTGCCGGCAAGGAGCAAGGATTGCTTTTCTGCGTCGAAGACTTGGAAGGTCCAGGTCCCGGCCGGGCCGGGGCTCAGCGGATTGCGGCCGAGCACTTCCACCGCATACAAGGCGTTCCCAACCCACGGCACCGAGGCGCTTAAAACCAAGACCGGCGCCTTCACGAAGCGAAGAAGGCCCCCGCTGTCCTGGTGTCACCCAAAAGATACTACAAGTAGTAGAAGATGAACAAGGTCCCCTGAACTCTAATGTTGAATGTTCCAAGGAGCCAAGAGTGTCTTCTCCGTCGTGTGGTACTGGCAGTCGGTTCCATCGGGCACTGCGATGGCGCCGCGAGGCATGTCGGTGGCAAGCGGAGGGCGGATGGCACAGGATGCAGAGAAGGTCAAGCCAGCCTGGCGCTGTGCGTTCACTTTCCTTTCACCATCGCAAAACATGCAACTGCATAGAACTCCCCCAGATCAAGAGATGCTGCAAGCCTTACTGATCTTATTGTAATCTTCCAAACAGGGTCCGGCCCAGGACCGGTTTCCACATGCGAAAAGCCAAAGGCACAATAATCGCTTAGGTTGGATGGACTAATGGCATGTAAGCTGTATGCGAAGCCATGCTGCCGTAGCCACGTCGCCAGAAATCTGCAGGACATTGCCTGACTGCAGAGCTGGCAAGCGCACGGTGAACCGCACGTAGTTTGCGCGGATGCCCGCAGCCGTGCAAGAGCCTTGAAGAGGCAATGCGGGGTATGGCACTGGATGGATCATTCTAGCTGCCAAGTTACAAGCCACCGAGGCCTCTGAGATCGCCAAGATCAGAAACAGCTCGCCCATCACGTCATTGCTCACGACCGCGCCGGCCCAGTGGGCCTGTTCCACAAGAGTTCTGAATCCCAAAGAATCCTAAGCCGGCACGCTTTTCTCGGCCTCCAATGAGGAGCTGGGGAAAGCACCCAGCTGCACGAAGAAAGCATTGCTTCCCAAGCGAGGCATCTGGATCGGCACTCGAACCTGTCAAAGCCACGGCCGCGACTACGCCCTTGTACAATGCCCCCCTGCAAGCCTCCAATTGCAGGATGTAAGTCCTGTTGGCGACGAGGTCGATGCCGCCCCAAGTGACCACATTGGCAACCTCGGCTGAAAGAAAGAAAGACCGGAAAAAGCTTTGCCAAGGCATGGGGCCGGGGCCCGGCTGGGGGCCTCGCCGCCTCGCAGCCCGGCCAGCCGCTTGGCATCGCCAAAGCAGCCCAGCAATCGCGGGGAAGGAAACCAGCCGTGACGGGCGGGCCCCAGATGTATCCGCTGGGAGCGAGGATTCGCAAGCCGCTCCTCGAAGATTCACGGCGCACAGTCGCGCTCTGACTCGCGAACTCAAGCTCTCCGTGACTCGCTGAGGGGCCCCCCCCCGTCCCCCCGTCCCCGCTCCTGCCGGTGCGGGGACTCAGAAAGTGAAGCGAGACTTTCCCGGTAACTCCGCTGAGAAGGAAGGGCCTTTCGAAAGGCTAGCACGTCTCGAACTCTCGAACAGCTCCTAGGCCTAGCCTTAGTGGGGCATCTTCGGGCCTATGCCTGGGGTGCCTCCATTCCCCACAGCCCACCTGCGGTCCGAGAGGGAGATGTTGACCTGGCAGAGACCCAACCAAGTCTTTCTGCCGTCGCCCTGGCCGCCCTGCCCTGGCCTGCAAGTCCTCGAGCGAGAGTTGCCATGGAGGCTCCCCGTGGTCTGGGTTGAAGACGGCCAGCGACCTCATCGCGGCATATCGCAGCTTCGCCGTGTGGCCGTGTTGGTCGCGTCTTGCAGCCTGGGGGACCCCGCCCTTCCACAAGTTCAGGTCCGGAGCTGCTCATCGTCTGTGTCCACACATACCACTCACCGGCTGCAAGGCTCAAAGCGCGCACCGAGACCTCGAAGCCTTTGCACGGCTGGAATGCTTTGACGTTTCCTTTCGGCTTCTGGTTCATGCCGCTCCGCTCATCTCCGTGCAGCCGAGCCACCATACAACTGACCGGTCTCGAGGTGCTCTCTCAGATGGACGAAAGCCTCAGCTCAGCATCCAGCGTCTACTTGGTGCCAATCACACGGACTCTTTTCGTCCCACCCAGCGTTGCCGAAAATTATTTGAGCAAAGCCGCTCGACTTCTGGGCAGGGTTGGGGCAGGGTCTTCGGCACAATGAGGCAGCTGCATCTGCCGGAAAAGGCAAGGCCACGTGCCGGCCACGCAGCTTGGGCTTGGGCCCTCTGCCTGACACAGGCAGAGGTCGTGCGCGCGGTGACACACGCTGCCCTGCTGCGCAACATGCCACCAGCTGTCTGCCGAGACGCAAGTGGCAAGGCGCGAACGCCTTCAGCTCGCAGAGCCTCGAGTCCGAGGGCAGCGGCCAGAGGAAGGTGAGAGAGAGATGCACTGGAGGATGCATGGAACTCATTTCTTGAGAACTTTGAGAACCAGAAGGCCTCGTTCAGCACGCGAGCCGTACAGCCTTGAAAATCGACGCTCTTCGGCCCGTCGATGACCACAGCCGATGCAAAGGCCAAGGTCGGCTGCAAAGTGATGGTCAGCCAAAAGGCCGCCTGTCAGCGCCCGAAGATGGAGCCAAGGCAGCAAACACAAGAGCAACGTGCTCGCCCTGCTCTCTGCTCCGAAGGCACAGCAGAAAAGGACAGCGTGGACGGCTGCAGGGTGACATCTCGCATGTCGCCGAGCACGCTCATGCCGCTTTGCCTGGGCAGCCAGCTGTCTCAGAGACTTCTCCGTGCTCTCTGCTTCGGCAAGGTGCCAGAAGAGATCGGAGCCCGAGCTAGGGAAGCTGAGCGCTTCGGGTGTGGAGGCCTCCCAGTCCTCGCCTCCCAAAGGAAAGGGTAACTAGAAGACAACTGGCCCGAAAGCATCATCAGCGAAGAGTGTGGGGCTATGTGATAGATCCAGTGTATAGGATCGTAAAGTCACAGAGTCAAGAGTCATAGAGTCCATGAGTCATAAAGTCAAGAGTCATAGAGTCAATGAGTCATAAAGTCATAGAGATACAGTGAGATAGCGTCCTAGAGTCATAGTGAGATAGAGTCACAGAGTCTGTACCATGCACTTGACTCGATGTAGTTCACTCTATGCTCTATGTGTGGGAACGCTTAATCGAGATCCCCATAGCGTGAGGGCTCATACCCTGACCTGGACCTCGATCGTGTCGCAGCAGTAGTAGTTTTTGGCTCCCACTTGTCAGCGTCGAATCGACTCTGCTCTGCAGGCAACACGAGACTACGGCAAGAAGCACCCTCCGGAGCAGCAGTAGTAGTAGTAGTAGGAGTAGCAGTAGTAGTAGTAGTAGTAGTAGTAGGAGTAGGAGTAGGAGTAGGAGTAGGAGTAGGAGTAGGAGTAGGAGTAGGAGTAGTAGTAGTAGTAGTAGTAGTAGTAGTAGTAGTGGCCACATCCATGCTCGCTCTTTCGCAAGACAGCGTCGAAGCAAGCGATCCTTTTTCCTGCGGCGGCGACGTCGCTTGCTCGCTCTTTCGCAAGACAGCGTCCAAGCAAGCAAGCAACGCCCCAAACCAGCGAGAGTGTTGCAGACGGTGGTTGAACAGCACCTTCTGCAAAGCGACAATCCAGAAGGCGGTGTGCAACGTGGCTGAGGGCCAATTCATTTTCCTTCCCAAGCGACCCTCTCGGCCTGGACGAAGTGGGGCACCAGCACTGGAAAGGCGGCCTGAGGAGGTGCCGGGAGAGGTCATCCCAGGGATTACGGTGGTCCGGAGCCTCCTGAAAATGGCTGATTGTAGTTGCAAACGTTCATCGGGAGCCCCGAGCCTCCATAGCACGCATTATACCAACCCAGGGTATAGCATCATGGAAGAAGAAACATAGCGTCAGCTGACAAACATCCCCAAACGGAAGTCGCAACACTGGTCTCTGAAAGGAGTAGGGATTAGGGTTTCGCTCTTCATCTCAAACCACAACAGGCCAGCGTATGTTTCTTAGCCGATCCAACAGACTCCAGGGGAACGCAACGGGCTTATGGGGTCCTTATTTCGTGTCTACCCACACCGGGTAATCCACGAGGGCCTAGTAGGACTAATGCAGGGATCACGGTGGTCCAGAGCCTCCTGTAGAAAGACTGAATATAGCTGCAGACATTGATCGGGAGCTCCAGGCCTCGGTTACATCCGGCATACCAACCCAAGGCATACTATCATGGAAGAATAAACCCGGCGGCATCTGGCAAACATTCCCAAGCGGCAGTCACAACACAGGTCTCTCAAAGGATTATTAGGGATTTAAGATCTATCCTATACCACAAACGGGTCCACCTCGCTGAGCTGCTGCGCGACTCGTGGCGCCGGGAGTCCAGCAGCGGAAGGCAGTGCAGCCATTAGGGATTTGGAAAGACACCGTTCCGAAGTGAAACCCCCTACTTCACTAAGAAACCCGCCAGATGCCGCAAAGTATTTAACGTGCCAAGCAATCGAGGAGCTCCTGCGTCTCGACGAACCTTTGTCTGCTCACAGGATGTCGCGGCCAGTAGGAGAACGAAAAAAAAAAAAATATATATATATATATACAGATAGATAGATAGATAGATATATATATATATATATATATATATATTTTTTTTTTTTTATCGACCTATGCATCTGCCAATCCCTCTGGAGGGTTGCCAATTGCACCTCGCAGAGATGCAAGTTCCTGCAATGGACCACGCCACTCCCTGTGGAGAGTTGCACGGCGGGAAGGTTGCAAGTAGTAATTTGCCCACACGTTTCAACCCTGGACCACGCCAATCCATGCAGAGGGTTACACGCAGCGCCTGGAACATGCAACAGAACCTGTTGCACACCTGCCGCTTAGAACACTCGAGGAGGCTAATCCCTCTCAAGGATTGCGCGGGGCACCTAAAATGTGCGACTTTGCCTAGCGTTTCAACGCTCGACCAAGCCAATCCCTGTGAAGGGTTGCGCGGGCACCGCAAAATGTGTAACTTCACCTCGCGTTCGAACACTCGACAACGCCAATCTGTGTGAAGGGTTGCAAAATTCATCTCAATGCACATCAAAAATTGCAACTTTACCTCGCGTTCGAACACTCGACCACGCCAATCCCTGTGAAGGGTTGCAAAATTCATCTCAGTGCACATCATAAAATGCAACTTTGCCTCGCGTTCGAACACTCGACCACGCCAATCCCTGTGAAGGGTTGCAAAATTCATCTCAATGAACATCAAAAAATGCAACTTTACCTCGCGATCGAACACTCGACCACACCAATCCCTGTGAAGGGTTGCAAAATTCATCTCAATGCACATCAAAAAATGCAACTTTACCTCGCGTTCGAACACTCGACCACGCCAATCCCTGTGAAGGGTTGCAAAATTCATCTCAATGCACATCAAAAAATGCAACTGTACCTCGCGTTCGTGCATTCGACCATGCCAATCCCTGTGAAGGTTGCAAAATGCCAATCCCTGTGAAGGGTTGCAAAATGCAGTTGAGCTGCACCCAAACCCTGTGAAGGGTTTTGCGGGAACCTTAAAATGTGTAACTTTACCTAGCGTTTGGGCGCTCGAGGTGGCCAATCCCTGTGAAGGGTTGCGCGGCGCCCGAAAAATGTGTAATTTTACCTCGCGTTTGAACGCCCCAGGAGGCGAATCCCTGCGAAGGGTTGCGCCGCGCGCCTAAAATGTGTAACTTTACCTAGCGTTTGGGCGCTCGAAAGTTCCAATCCCTGCGAAAGGTTGCGCCGCGCCCGAAAAATGTGTAACTTTACCTAGCGTTTGAACGCCCGAGGATGCGAATCCCTGCGAAGGGTTGCGCCGCGCGCCTAAAATGTGTAACTTTACCTAGCGTTTGGGCGCTCGAGGTGGCCAATCCCTGTGAAGGGTTGCGCCGCGCGCCTAAAATGTGTAACTTTACCTAGCGTTTGGGCGCTCGAGGTGGCCAGTCCCTGTGAAGGGTTGCATTCCCGATGGATGACGACGGTGCCACGCCTGGCTTTAAAAGAGAGATTAGATACCGAGATGTAGAGAGTAAGTCATAGAGGCATAGAGTCAAAGTCAAGTAATTCATAGAGTCAATAGAGTCAAGTAAGTAAGTCAGTAAGTAGAGTCAAATAAGTAAGTAAGTATAGAGTTCAAATTCAGTAAGTAAGTATAAATAAGTAAGTAGAGTCAAGTAAGTAAGTAAGTAAGTAAACGTAAGTACAGAGTTCAAGAGTAAGTAAGTAAACGTAAGTACAGAGTTCAAGTGCTATGAGCTTGAACAGGTCAAGTATCAAGTGTAGAGTCAAGTAAGGTACAGAGTCAAGTGAGTTGATTCTATGTCTGTCATCTGTGTACTCATCTAACCGGCTCCGCACGGAAGAACCCTTCGCGATGCTTTCGGGAAATCTCACAGAAACTGGAAACTGCATGCTTCGTCGCATGCTTCTGCCGCCTCGGCTGCGGAGCTCCAGGTGCCAAGGCCTGCCAAAAAACTCGTCATGACTCTAGGTCTGCGGAGATCGAAGGTCGAGGCCGTTGCTCGGCTGGGCACGCGGATCCCGGTGTGTGAAACGCCCTTGGGAGGAACCCGGATTCAGCGAAACCTTCACACGGCAAATCCCTTCCCCACTGAATTGCAGTGCTAGCATCACCTTCACATAGATTTGTTGGCCAGTGTAGAACGCCTCAAACCTAGGAAAGGGGATGGCTTCCACAAGCTCGCTGTCCCCGAACCCAGACTCAAAGGCGGCCTAGCGACTCCTCGAGGTCCAGGAAGCACTCGCTGGGCCGGGTGCCTCGTTGCCTCCACCCTCGCCCTGTTCTTTGCGCCATGGGCCCCAGGAAATCTTCCAGATCACGGGACACTTCAAGGGACTCGAGCAAGTGGGCATCTTGAGATGGAACGTCGAACACTGGGAGCTGGAGCATGGTTTCGGCGCTGAGGCACTCATAGTGTTCTGGAAGACGTAGCGAGAGGCCGACCCCACCCCGAGTCCCAGCAGTCAGTGTGGTGGGGATCTCCAGGCGCACCAGGATCTCATTTCTTTTGGAAGGAAACGGGCTGCGCCCATGGCCAGAGCGACCAAAGACCAGCAGCTGAAGAACTGGACTCGCTGGTGCTCCGCGCGACTGGCGACGCCAAAAGGCTGCGAAGGGAAAGATGCCACTGAACTCGACAAGAGATGCATTCTCATCTTCCCCGCTCACCATGAGCTCTGCTACCACTTGGCTAGGAAAGAAGGCCGTGCGGGGAGCAGGCAGTGCCAGTTGCCAGGATCGCCAATCTGAGCCTGGATCCCACAGGCCGGCTGAGCCTGTGCCCACATCCCAAGCTGCCGACATGTCCAGCGACACCCAGCTGCGATAAGGTCCAAAGTGTTCGGTCTCGCAAATGCCGATGCTCGCCTCACATGTCGTCACCTCCCAGGAGCTCAAAGGAAAGAGGAGCATCCGTATCAGAATGCTGGAGACATTCACAATGGGCCGAAGATCAAGACCGTCGGGAGGCAATTGTAAGCTTAGGCTGAGGTTCACGAGACTCTCCGAGTCCTCTTCCAGAAGCAGCGCCCGCTGGTGGCGAGGAAGATCCTCGAAGATCACAGAGCCTCGGCCGCCAGGCGGGCCGCCAGGCGGGCCGCCAGGGCTCAGAGCGTTTCGAGTGCCTCTTCTCGAGGAAACCGGTAACGAGAGAACTTCGACACCTTCATGCATGGAGCAGTTCCCGGTCCCTCGGCAAACCGCCGCAATCTCTGCAACTTCGCTGGCATCTTCAAAAGCTTCAGTCACCTCCACGTTCAAAGCCAGGTGAAAGCTACAGCCGTCCCCGCGACATGTTGGGAACTCGCCGGACAATTGCAAGGAAATCTGTGGAACGCTTTCATTCCATTTGCACCCTGCGATGTGGGGAAAGCCATGCAGGCCTTCCGCACCCTCAACCGCCAGGTCCAGGAACCAAGCACCACAAGGCTGCCTCGGCCGAGTCAACCCGATTCTCTCGCGGCCCCACCCGGACCCAACCCCTGGCCCCTCGCTGCAGCAAGGATTCTCTTCCAGGGGCTCTTGAAGCTGCACAGTCCTGGGCCGCAAGGTGGCGAAGCCTTGCAACACAGGTCAAGCATCGCCTGCGTCATCGCATCACCATCACCAACTAAGTGCCAACAAGTGTGCACGTTGCGCCGTTACCACTTTTTCCAAGGGGCGGAGCTGCAGTTCCCACTGGCCATCAAACGCCTCGAGGTGCTCCTCACAGATTGTTGAAAAGGAAAGACAGGCGCATCCATCGAAAGGTTGCAGAAAGAGAAAAATACGAAGAGAACGGAGTGCATGCAGGACACTAAGGACGGAGAGGAGAGAGAGAGAGAGAGAGAGAGAGAGAATCAGGGATCGGGACGGAGCCGGAGGAGGGCCCTGAAATCCTGGGAAAGTCCAGGGCTGAAGCACACCACCGCCGGTGCAATGCTGCCAAGCGCAGAGCTGGACAAAACCAAGGACGCTGTGGGCCCTTGGTTGTCATCGTCACAAACGTTCGTGCACATGCAGCGCACGCCCACAGGCAGTGAGAGATAGAGGCGACAAGGGAGACATACCCGCCCTTGACTAGATACCATCGAAGTGCTTGGTTCGTCCCAAGTATATGACACTGACACCCACACCCATACACACAAGCACGCATGCACAGACAAACCCGTATGAAAATATGTCTGTATGCATACGTAACTATGTACGTACGTGTGTAGAAATGATAAAAGTGTAAAATGTATACATGCATGTAAATGTCTACGTCGATGTCTATGCATATGCCACTGTCATTATATACGTGTATATGTCTGTATGTGTATGCAGACTTTTGCTTGGCGAGGGCATTCTGTCCCAAACTTGCAATCCACCAAACAACGCTCCGGGTGAAGGAGGGATTCACGACCCACCATCCACGAGATCCATTACCTTGACTCCGCCCGCCGCACCAGGAGGGGGCAAGGCAGCACTCTGGCAGCACTCATCTGTTCCACACACAACGGCCTTAGGGGCAGGACTGCTTCCCCGAGTAGTTTATGCGAGCCGCCCTCAGTTCAGACATTAACGATTTGGGAACGAAGCCAAAGACGCAATCCCTAGCCAGGAGAACTCGGATCTGTTCGCGAAGTGTTCCAAGGACTCATTTTCACACTTGCGCCCAGCCGTGTTCCCACAGCTCGGCATCAAATCAAGGTCCGAGTAGCCTGCCAGCCAATTTACGGCACGGCAACCGGCAACTACAGTAGAGCCAGCAGTCTTCGCTCAGCTCGAGACAATCCCATGCTCGACCTTCCAACGTCCAAACTGTGCAGGGGCCAGGGGTTTAGGCTGGGGAAGGAGCGGCCGATGCCTTGAATCGGCCTCCTGAAAGCTGCTCTGAAAGCTGCGACGATCACCCATCAAAGTCTTCATACGAAAACCTCGGACCTCAAGTATCCGTTCAAAAATCCCCATGCAAGCCACACATGCAAGGTCGAGAAGCTCCGGGCGGCCTCCACCCAGCCGGTGAGGGCACAGGCCTGCGGCTTGGGGTCCCCCGCCGCCCTCCCACCAGAAAGAGCAGCAAAAGCATTCCTGTCTCCTTTCCTTTTTCTACTTTCTTCCGCTTAGATTTGCCTCCGCCTTTGCCTTTTTTCCCTTCTGGGAGTCCCCGGCCGAGCTGGCAATCCTGCCAGTTCGGAGTGTCCGACGATCCTTCAAACTTTGCTACCAACAGGGCATGCTTCGGTGCAGCCAGGAACACGTCTGGACGAGCCCAGGAGGCTGTATTCCAGCTCCCAGCTGTGGCTGCCAACTCCCAGGCTTGGGCGCGACCAGCCAGTACGTCCACCAGGACGTCCAGTTGGCCACTTCTGAGAAAATCTATGCCCCGACACAGAATAAAGAGCTCCTTTTGATCCCGCAGTCGGGACTCGAACCGCGTTCTCCAGAAGAGGTTGAAGAAAAGGGTCATTTTCACATCGTTTTGTTGCAAATCTTCCTCCCGAGCCTCGCGTCCCAGTCCACGCTCCTGCTCGGACAGCAGCTTCCGCGTCCTCTCGATCAACTCCTCCAACACCGAGCCCCGCCGGCGCTCCGCCTTCTTGCGCATCGGGGGGAGGAGCTCTCGATCGCTTTCGCTGCTGCTGCTGTCGTCAGCGCTGCTTGTGGAGGAGTTGCTTCTGCGTGATTTCTTCCCCTTTGTCTCCGTCCGCAGGCCTCGTTGACCATCCTTCCTTTACTGCCAGGCTGGGATCCGCAGGGGTGGCAGCTCCAGGCACCACATGCAACCCTTTCCAGGCCTCCAAAGCTCTCCGCCCTCTCACAGAGCAGAGATGCCCTGGATACTGGAAGGAAGCCCAATAGCGTAGCTTCTCGGAGTGGTGCAATGACTCCTTTGTCTCGCAAAGGGAGATACCCGTCATGCCATTGTGTAAGCCGAACTTGCGCCGATTGAAGACAGTTCCGACCTCGCAATGTATTTCCTGTTTGTTGGTGCCAACGTACAATGGCGGCTTCCGCGCCCCCATTATTGTCCGAGGAGCATGTTGTGTGCACGACAATTCCGGGTAAACGTTACACCAACCCATGTACCAGTGTCCGCGGCACTCACCAGCTCGCCAGGATCCCTGCCTTTCTCCATGCAAGGCTCGAGGACATCTCCTTCCCCATACGGAGTGCTCATGACGCCGATAGTTGGGGCAACAGCTGGTCGAAAGCGCTGCTTTTGGCAGATGCCAAAGGAGCCGTGGGCTTCCTGGGGTCCCGACTTTCCTTTGAGCAATAATCGTACTCGTACTGGCTTGGTGCCTCCTTTCCGCTCCCAGCCTCTTCGCCCACAGGGGGTGGAGTGGCTCGGGGCCGGACGGGAGCAGCCGACACAGCTGCCACCTTTTGGGATCACAGGGCTTCCGGACGAAGGCCTGTAACGCCTTAGCACCTTAGGAGTCTCCGATGGAGTCATCCATAGCAAAACTTGTTGAGAGGCAACAAGCCTGTGAGCTGCTGCCAACTGACACGACATTTGTCCTGTAAAGCCATGCTGCCCCCGAAACCTGGTTGCCCGTCTGGGGTTCTTGAAAGCGATAAGGTTTGGTTTTGCAGAGGTTATTTTTCCCACTCGCATTGCTTGGAAGTCTATGCCCGCTCGCCAGGTCTGACACTGGAAGGAAAAGAAGGCTGCGGTTCCACGGTTAGTCAACTGTCAGACTGCCTCACCAATTACAGCCATGTCTCCTTCGAGTTCAACGGCTTTTCACATGCAATTTCAACTCTCCCACTGCAAGCTGTGCCATTTCGGCTTATTGGCGCCCCTGAGAGGCTGAGGTTACGGGTTTAAAGCTTTGTTGGGGCTTGAAGCGGAATCATGCAAAGCCCGGACCGACTTCGCCCAACTCGGACGATCTCAATCCCAAACCCTAAACCCAGACCTGCCCAAAACCATAAATTCCAAACAAACCTCATACTCAAAATTCCAAACCTTCAAGCCGCAGCGGACCTTTATTCTTCCCAAACCCCAAACCTCGAGCTCTCTTCACCCAGAACTCTCGCAAGGAAAACTGCTGAGTACCAGATCACCGGGAGGGCCAAGCTCCCCTCGAAGGGCAGTTGAACCAAGCGCACCAAGAGCGCGCACTTGACTTGCCGCTGACAAGCAGATTTCCTCAGCGAGACTTCTCGCTTCGCCGGATGCCCAGCGCCGAGTATAAGCTCTAACTGGAGGGCTCCGATGGCTTTGCAACCCCAGCACCAAGACTCGTTGGGGGCTCTACCTCCAGAGCCACTCCATACAAGCTGAAGCACTAGCGCGTGGAGATTTCGATTTGGACACAATTCAACTTCGCACGTGAAATCGGGACGAAAACTATGGGTAGAGTTTCGGGTTTCAGGCCTATGGGCCTTGGTAAGCTTTCGGGTTGCTGCTTTCGGAAACAATGCACCACAGCCGGGCCGAGGCGGACGACGCAAAGCGTTTCAAATTAAAATTAAGTGGTGTGCAGGAAGCCAGAGTTGCTCCTACTGGCAGCCCATGGAAAGTGCCCGAAGCATTGCTTCCACACTGGCCCAGGAAGAGAAACTGCTAAAGTGGGGCATGTAATCGCCAGCAAGCCAAAGTGGGTTGCAATGCTCCGGCTGCGTCGGCAAAGTCGCCTTTGACAGGAGGCGCCATGCTCAGAAAGGCACTCTGTGAGCATTTGCTTCGTTTTTTGAATATCCGGTGTCCAGAGTCACCTATCTGCAAATGATCATCGAGGATTCATCATTTCGAAAAAAATCGCGCTGTCCATAATGTCAACGGCACCTGTTTCGAATTTCGAACATCGACATGCACGCCTTAGAGTTCCATGACGATCGCCCGAGGAATGGATGCCGAAGCTTCGCGACAAAATTGTCCGCACCTCCTCGTGCCATGTTGAGCTACCAATGCTCCTTGCAGCTTTCATTTCAGCTCTGCGACCATGCGAAGGTACTGTGTACCGGGGCAGTACACAGACTACTCTGAAGTAGTGTACAGCACCCACTCAACTCTGAAGCCGAACCCGGCAAGCTCGCGGCAGCCTTTTTCTTATTGTTATGCACCAAAGTGGGTGCCTTGAGCCACGGTCTGTCAAAGTCAGGTCTGTCTCTTGCGCTCGACAAAGTCAGGCGAGGGTTTGGGGACAGAAACTGAACCAGGCACGAACATTTTCAGTTCGGTCCACGCTTGCACGCCTACGTGCTAGCAATCAAAAAACATACATACAAACTGACATACACTCAGGTGTGCACCGACGTACGGGGGTATAAGACATCTTTTTGTAACATGCGGCCATAATCAGCCATACACATTTGTTCTGCATGTGTGGTATCCCCTGTAAAACAAACCTGAACCTCGGAGCTTGGTCCAAGGACAGTCGCGGCCTCTCAGAACGGACTTCCGAAGTTTACATTGCACTTATATGTTACGCTGTTACGCACGCCGTACCATTCGGAGTTCGACCGCGTGCGCAGCCTCCATTGCTCGATGTCACTTCTCTCTGCACCAGCTTCTGCCCTTGGCCCATCTACGTCTGATGACTCAACTGGCTCGAAACGCCGATGGCCGGCCCGGCCCGCAGACATTCTGCAACATGAACTTACAAAAACTAGGCGTGTGCATACTTATAAATTACATGCGCGTGTGCGGCCCCTGCTTCCCCTATATGCCCAGTCTGTGTGCGGCCCAATTGCCGGTGACGCTGCTCGGGGTGACAAAGCAGCAGCTCACAAACGCGCCAAGAACTCCGAACGTGTGCCACGCCATGGCATGAATATGATCTTCATGGCCAGGCCGAGCCTAAGCATGACGGCCTGATGTGGCGCCTCGCGACTGTGGATCTGCGGAGCCAGAAGCACTCGGCGGACGCACTGGAACTTTGCAGTGCAGGAACGTGTCGGGAAAGAGTGTGTCATGCTCACCGACACAGCTTTTTCAGAGACTCGCGGGCCAATGTTCAAGTTGGATCTCCTCACAGGCGCATGGAGCACCAGGAGGTGCCGCTTCCCAAGGGCCTCTGCCGCACATGTCTAACGTCGTAACATCAGGCCGTCGAGCATCAATAACCCGGTGTCGCAGCGCTTGCAGTTGCCCTAAACCGGAAACATGCTAGACACATGGGGAAGTGTTCAGAGGTCTCATGCATGCTACGGCACGTCAAGTTGGAAACAACATGCGACACGGACTACAGCAAGAATAGTTTCAAGCATCTACTGGCACGTGTGCCGTAACACTTGCCATCAAGTTGACGAAGACTCGAGGAAGACCTGTGTTATTGGCATGCCTCAGCGAAGATCTCGTTTTGCACACCCTCTCAACTTAGCCCGACAGCTCAGGGTTTAGGATGTCCGCATGTCTCCGCGTTTAAGTTTTGACATTGGGATTGTGTGAGGACTGCGGCGTAGCTTTCAGTGTCAACATCCTGGGTATCTCCATGCTGCACAAGTTGCTGGAGTATAAAGATTTAAAGGTGTTTCGAGTAAGCAGTTACGAGAGTTCTTGGCCTGCTACCACTCAGGACGACCACTGCGACCAGGACGACCACGCCGCCAGGAGACCACCAAGACTAAGAGACAACCACAAGTACCGGTGCATTTCCGGACAAGCCGACTTATACGTCCTCCGTAGCTTGCGAGATCCACAGTCAGCCGTGATGCACCTCTTCGTCTGTTTATTTGTGTGTCCATCCATCCATCCATCCCTCCGTCCTTCCTTCCCCCGAATCATTTCGTCCAACTACTGCTGCGACACGTACTGTACTGTTTACCATGCGTGCACACACGAATCCTGCACGGATAGCAGGATGTCAGCGAAAAGTATGCAGCGCGCTGAACGGGGAGACGTACGCCGTGAGCATCCTGTGCAAATAACAAATCAGTAATAGGACGCGATGAGCAGATTTGCAGCATTTGCTGTGAGTACTAGGACGCGCGGAGCCACAGAGTTACTGCACTGCCGGGATAGTAAAGAATCGAATCGATACAGTAAAGAAAGTGATAGAACAGTAATGACAGAAACGATCAGGTCCAACACAGGTGCGACCTTTCTGCTACTTCTGCAAGGTTGCAGCCAGCCAAGCCGCAGAGGCGAATGTCTCTGCCCACTAGCCTGTTTCGGAATCGACAGGGCAGCTTGGTCGCTCGCTTTTGTCAAAGGTGAACCACGCGGTCATCCAACGAGGCCCAGGAAAACGCGACGCAAGGCACGAGAGGACGCCGTAGCCAGGTGGGCTTCGGTGGCGGCCAAGAGCTATGCCCCTTACCTGTACCTACAATACAAATGGGAGATATGTAGAAAGGAAGGTGTGGTATCTTGCAGTGGGCAGTGACAGTTGCAACCCGTCGCTCCCGTAAACCTCCCAAGCTCTGCAAAGTAATTGCCTCGGCGCCTCAGAGATCGTCCATGTCGTTGCGGCTGGGATCGTACTGTGGAACCAGCCCGGGAACCTGCAATTGCCGACAGACATTCGAGGTCTGTTTCGGAAGACTTGCGAGCAGCAGGAAGAGGGCAGGAGAGGCATTGCAGCAGAATCATCATGAAAGCAGCACTGCTGAGTGCCGAGACTCGGCCGAGACTGCTCAGGCCGAGCTTCGGCTCTCTTCCGAAATGGGTTTGGACATCGCGCGGTTTCGAAGAGTTTCAGGCTGTGCGGGTTATGATGGGAGTTGAGTGTGCTGTGGAGCATCTTTTTCCTTCTCCCGCGGCGGGTGGTTCGGCTTATCCAGGGCCAGGGGAGGGATTAAGATCCGAAGCAAGGCTGCCGCAGTCAGCAGACGCCACAGAGCGGCCAGAGCGAGGATCTGCGAGAACCGCGAAAAGCCGGCAGCGCCTCGTCTTGACTGCTTTTGGTGCGCACTGCAGCCTTTCGTATGTGCAGTCGATGCTTTCGTCACAATTTGGGGACATGCAGGCCTTTCGCCGCATCGATTCCACACCACAGCAGCAGCCACCATTCCAAGTTCCGTCCCAGCACCATTCCTCGTGACGAGCACCATGCTCAGCAGTGTGGTGACCCAAACACGACAGCATGTCGACCCCGCTCATGAAATTGGCACACAAAGCTTGACTTAATTTATCTTGGAAGTCTTGCTGCCATGATTCCCAAGGTGCCTCCACTCCTGACAACTTGGGCTGTATGCAAAGCGTTTGGCTCTTGCCATTTCCGCTGAGGCTCTGCATCAAGGTGAAAGCTGTACCCTCGCAGCCCTTTGTCGCATGGAGCTGCTGCAGGATCGTGGTCGGCATGAATGTCAAGGCCTTGCCAAACCTTATCTTCCGATCCTGCACGACCACGCACACTTGCGGCTGAAGGCTTCTGCCTGATGTAAAGATAAGCCAATGAGCCAAGCCGCTCGCTGGCCGCGTTCCTTGGCTTCATGCTTCGACACTGAGGTCTTCAGTGGAACTCGAAGTCTGCCATCAGCTGCTGAGATTCTCAAGCATGGCCGCCGGAAACGCCATCGTCTCATCGACAGCCAGCAGCAGCGCCTGTGTTTTCAGCGACAAAGGTCTGCGCGACTTTCGAGCCGCGCAAGCCTTCGCTAGAAGTGGCAGCGTCCAGAGCAGAAGGGAAAGGCGCAGGCCGCCTGAAGACCACGGCATTCAATGCTCGAAAGTCGCGCCCAAAGACTAGAGACTTTGAGAACAAGGAGCAAACGGCGCGAAAGAGACTAGAGAAGTTGAGAACAAGGAGCAAACCGTCCGAAACGACCAGGAATCTTGACAACACAAAGAGCAAGCCGCTCCAAAGGGACTAGTGAGTTTGAGAACAAGGAGCAAGTCGCTCGAAAGAGACTTTGCCCCCCTCCCCCCCCTCCCCCTGTGCCGATACACCCCCAAGGGATACTCCTTGTAAGGAGGTGTATGACCAGTTTATTCCCTAAGGATCAAAGGGCAGCGCCCTGCACACGGACAGTAGTTGTTTTGTCTTGCTACGCAAGGAGAGCTTGTCTTGTCTCAATATGGTAAAACCACTGTGAGCCAATGGGCAGCGGAATGTATATGTATGAGCATGCAGCCATTGCTGTAGGTACCTGTTAGAGCTACCCCTTTAGAGGTTTATGGTTTCAAACAGACACTAATTTTCTTTTACCGAAAGCATGGCCGCACATTCACACATATACTGTTATGCCCACTGTCACAGTTGCGGAGTTTTGGACTCATTATAAAAACAGCATATTAGGTATGCTAGGTATAGCACTGAAGTACACTGCTGAGGACACTCCACTCATTTTGCACACACACTCATGCATATTTGTCAGAGAGATCATCTGTACAAGATCAGGTCTGGTGATGTTCTACTACTGAATTATGCAGCCATTCATTGTGCTCTTGTTAGAGCCTTGTGATTCACTATTGTGAAACTCTGAGAATTTTCTTATCTCAGATTCGGATCCAGGTTTGGATCATAGGCTCGAGCATAGACGTTCGGATGATGCTCATCCGGGTCTGAGTGATCTTCTTCGGAACTTGAAAAGATTCCGAGTAATCTGTTCTCAGCCCTGGTGAAGGCGGCATCTGCAGTATCATATCCATGGTTGGATGTTGTCGCCTTTGGCTCGGCCTTTGGAGCAGCTTGTGAGCTGACTGGAGTCGCCTTGGCTTTTGCCGGTTGCGGCTGCTTGGCCTTTGCCCGTTCAGCCCTTCTTCTTTCAAGCTGTCCGTCTGAGGACGCCCATGATCTTTCGCTTTCATCTCCTGAAGGAGATAAGGCGTGGGCATAAAGGCTATTCCAGTACTGTGGTGCAGAAGGAGTTAGGACTTCTTCATTGTCAGATTCTGATTGGTCTTCCTCAGAACTTTGGTCATCAAAAAGTGTCTCGAGGACATTTTTGAGATTGTTATTTCTTCGCTCTATCTCTAGTGAGGAATGGACCAATTGGTTAAAGACTGTCCTTGAGTCCTTCAGTGCTGTGAGAAGGATTTCCACTCTGGATAGAGTATCTTGGATGGTGTCAAGATGTTCCTTTCTTTCCTCCTTGTCTCTCTGGATAGAGCCTCGCAATGCTTGTGCGATTCTGAGGAGGTCTGTGTATTTCGCAAGAGGCATAGTTACCGTTTGATTGTCATGTATGACAGTTGTTTCGTCGCCGCTTAAGTTCCTGAATAGGACTTCCACGATTGGTAGGAACTCCGTGCTCCACGGTTCCTCTTCATCATATGTTTCTACGTGCTGTAGCACGCGTTGTGTAAACTGGCCGGCTGCTTCTACCGTTGCATCGATAGAGCTGACGTGTCTTGATACTATGTTTCGGCACGTAACGTTAATTGCCTGGCCTTGATTGGCTTCGTCAAGTGCAGCGTCTGCATAAGTGCAGAGTCCACTGTTGTGGGCTTCTCTGGCTGCCTTTCGTTGAATACGCCGATTTTGACCTCCTCTTCTGGTAGGACCTTTTGGTCTCGGAGGAGCAGAAGGTACTGTTCCTTTCGCCTTTGGCGGAGGACTTTTAGGTGGAGGTGATATGTTTGCCTTGTTAGGCCCTGGTGGCATTGCCTTAGGCGCTGATGACGATGCGGCACTTGAGAGTGCAGATGTACCTCTGGCTTTTGCCGAGGATCCCTTGGGGATCGATGTATAGGTAATCTGCATGGCTTCCTCGGCCATTTGTGCATGCAAGGCATCCTGGAATAATTGTGTCATGTGAGGAGTGTTACTTGCATCATCGTAGGTCTGGAAGCGCTCAATGTCTCTTTCGGTGCCACGTGGTCGTGTATCACCTCTTTGGAAAGGATCATTCCTGCGAATCTCCGCAACTTGTACTGCATGA